AAATAAACATATGTGTGAAATGGTATGCAAATAAATAAATAAATTTTAATTAGGAATTAGTTAAATATGTTAATGCAGGTCAGATATTATATTAATGCTAGTCAGATATTATGGTAATGCCGGCCGAATAATCTTAATTCGGGATCATATTAAAAATCCCGTGCGTGCCCATATCTAATTATGACCTAAGAAAGAATAACCACCATAGAAAGACTTTCGTATGATTGGCTGTTTAAATCAATTTAATTTTACATTATTTATACAGTTTAAAGTACTTTTTAAAAAAATAAAACTACGAAGAACAAACAAAAAAGAAGTAGATAAAAAGGTTTATTAGGTTGTAGGGCTCATAAATTAAAAATAATCATTTCTGGTTTTAGAGAAGTTAGCATAATAGCAACTTCTTAAAGATAGATAGAATTAGGTTATTACCATATTAACTTCTCTAAAACAAAAGGTGATTTGATTATTTTTAATAGTGGTGTCCTACAACATTAATAAAACTTTCTATATACTTCTTTTTTTGTTTGTTCTTCATAGTTTTTATTTTTTTAAAAAGTACTTTAAACTGTATAAATAATGTAAAATTAAATTGATTTAAACAGCCAACCTTACGAAAATCTTCCTATGGGCATAACCACCCACCCAAATCAGAGTTTAAATATCATACATATAATAAAAATTTTCACATTTTCTTTCATAATAAAATTAAGATTTCATATAATGTTGAGTATAAATTGTATCTTTACGGAACTGATTTGGGTAGTTATGCTTTAAGGATTGGACGGCTCACATCCTCCATAATTGCATTCTACATCTCAGTTCTAATACTTATAAAATTATTCTCTAAATAAATGTATAAATAGGTCTAATCGTACATTCGAATTGTGAGCTATGCTTACAAATGCAAGAATTAGTGATCAGGACGCGGAATATTGTGATTTACTACAATCTTAAGAAATATACTTAGAAACATAGTAAATCGTAAAATCCTCACATCCCTTTTGGAGACATATCCTATGTAAAAAATTTGTCACATGGAAAATCACCAAGTATAGCAACCCGCTACTTCGTTCATGGAATATACAATATCCTGGGTACAGTGCTACCACCCTTAACTATCTAATAATTTGGCTAACTGGCATCGGTATTGATATATAGTATTCATATAATATATTATGTTCAACATTTTAAAATCAAACTTTTGTTTAAAAGATACTGGAAATTAGTTGAATGAATCCATGGAGAAAAGGAATTAAAATTCGGAAATAAAATTGGACATGCTTTTTTGAAAGAAAATATTGAGAGTATTCTGTAGGTTTAGATTTTTTTATTTCAATAAATATATGATCCAAAAAGAAGTTGGAGAACCAAAAAAATTTTCGGAGTGTTGCGATTTATTGTTTTACGAATCAAATTGTAAAATTACTGTCGATATTTTTTAAAGATGATTGTTAAATAAATTAACGGCTTAATTAATAAAAGAAATTAAAAAAGCTTAGCATGGATCCTACCAAGGCCAAGCCAGTGTAACAAGTTGGTTCATATTAACTAAAAACCGAATATACTACTAATACCATCTAATCTTCCATTGATGTAAACACTTGAAATACTTCAAGTTCGTCAATACAAAATTCATCTTCGTTATTTCTTATTCTATTTTGATAACTGGTTTTAACGCAACAACAGTGAATATCTTCATTAAAGTCATTTCCAAATAATCTTAAATCTGATTCTCCACCACCAAAGCATGGACCATAATTACCATTTTGATAAATGGCTTTGTTTCGATCAACAATTTGGCTCAACACTCGATCAAAGTTAAAAACTTTATCTCCTAACGAAAAAATAAAACTTGAACTTGTTGGACTGTAATTACCGGCCACCATTGAATGCCAATTTAAAGGGTTATATCCTCCAAGTATTTCTCCAGATTGCTTTTCTCTTAAAATTGTGAGTGTAGGGCCTTTTCCATCACAATGATCATGAAATTTTTTAGGTGTAAAACCATCTTGTGATCCACGCAAAATTAATTTAAAGCTATGCTTGCAGTTTTCAGGTAGTGAAGAAATATTTTTAATCCACGTCGAAATTATTTCTGCGTCATATGTCGTAATAAGAACTGAGTTAATATCGAGTTTTTCTGGTCTGTTATTATAACTAACTAATTGAATAGACTTGTCTACTTTTTCATATAAATCATGGTCCACATAATCCAATGAACTTCGCCAAGGTTGCACTTCTCTTAAAAATTCATCATAGCTCATTTCATCAAATCTAATTAATGGAATAAACGGTTTTATAGATACACCTAAAGAATAGTAATTTTCTGTTTCCCATTTTGTCTTTGGATTTGGTAAATCCGGTGTATTTGCGATTCCCCATTCAATAATCCTTTTCCATATCTCAACAGGCTTCATTAAGAAATTTTGACTTTGAAAAAAAGAAACCAATGTATTTTGCTCTATTGTGATAAAATCACTAGAATCAAATATTGTTGCAGGGTTTTCTTTGATAAGCTCAATAACACATTTTCGTATTTTCAAGTAACGTTCGCTTTGCTCGGCAGCAAATCGGTGGACAAAAACGAAATGCGACATTAATCTCCAAGGATAACAGATAAGGTAATCCTGGATATACTCTGATAGGTCAGATATACAAAACTCGTCCGTGGCTTTTAGTACGTCAAGAATTATTTTTGTATCATGTTCTGCCAAGCAAACTGTGCCACCGTACAAAAAGCTAGAATAAATTAAATTGAAAGGTACATGAAAAGACTGTAAACAGAATTTTTTGTAAAATAAAATTTATCTACGTACGTACTTGAGAATAATTTCAAATACTTCAGGTGAAACATTAGGTTTAAGAAATAACATTATATTTCCTTGAGTTCGTACCCAATTACTTGACAATGCATTACGAAAATATGCTGACCTTGTGCGTAAAACAAGTGAATGCACTCGAAATTCTTTACAATTCGGTTCTTGGCCAGCACGCAAGATAACATCGTAATGTTCTCCTGTTTTAAAAAGTTTTATATAATCGTTTGACAGTTGAGTTAAAAATTTATCTTCCATTATTTATCAAATTATAAAAAGTTGACTAGCTTATATAGTTAATAGGCGTTGAGGAAACGGTCAATGATGAAAAACTTTTTTGGGTGCATTTTTTTTTTTTATGGTTTAAGTTAGGATTTAGGGTTAGGATAATAAGGGGATTTTAATAGGTCCATATTTAAAGAGACCCCAATTTGCAGATTTAGTCCAACAATTAAGTGAAAATGAGACTTCGGACTTTCAATTATATAATGTACCGGAAAAAAAGATGTAAACAATAATACGCAATTGAACTTCAAACTTCAAGTTGCATATTATCGTTATATATCGCTGATAAGGTTTTCTGCCACGTTATACCGGGTTGGCGAAAAGTAACTGGACAATGCCCTTTTTTTAATTACTGATATAAAGTAATTGGAGGTATAATGGCGCGGTTAAGAATAGTTATTAGTAAAAGTTTTCAAAAAAAGATAGTTATTTATAAAATTTATAAGAATTATACTCCATCCAATGTATTTTAAATTAATCATAAAAAAAGAAGGACTTTGCTAGTAATTTTTACATTATTTTATTATTCGTTTAAGAACATCGAAAAAAAATTAAAACTTTACATTTGGAGGGTAATGCGGCGGATCATCCCTAATGATAATTCAGCCTAACATTACTTAACATCACGTAGCCTAACCAAAAAAAATCAGCAAAACGTCGTACAAATCACTCAACGGTAACAGTAATATTTTCAGGCATCTTATTTTTTTTTTAGTTCTTTGATTCGTTGCTTGCTTTTGTGCCTTTTTTAGTTCATGTTCGGCTCTCTTTTGAGCAGCCATTTCTTTTTTTCTTTTAGTTTCCTCAACTTTCTTTTTTGCTAAATTGTCTGCTTCTTTCAAAGCTTTTAATAATTCATCATTAGTAAGAAGTCAGGTGAATGGCAATGTTTTTCTTTTTTTTGGTTGTTGTGAAGCTTCTTCAGTTTCATTCTCATTAGCAGATGACAAGCATAGAGCAGGATATTTCAGTATTAGTTTTAATGGTGAAGTATTGGGTTTCTTAAATGTCTCTAACTCTTTTTGTATTGCAATATAATTTTGTTTCATTTCTTCTAATTGTTTAATTTCTTTTTTAAGGTGTTTATTTTCTATTTTTAAAGATTCTAAAGATATGTGTGGTGATGAAGATAATGAAGATGATACTAACAAAGATGATGATAATGAAAATGAAGATAATGGAATTGATGGTAACAAGGATGAAGATAATGAAGATGTTGGTAATGAAGGTGATAACAAAATTTGTTTAGTTAATAGTAGTAAAAAATTAGTTTTTTTAGTTAATAGTGAGGGATTAAGGTGATTAATACTAATAATGTTAGGGTTGAAAGGTCAAATTCCTGTAGTTTTAAATGAATTCATAATCATTTCAGGTATAAAAGTTTTGATATATGTCAGTTCAAGTATGCTGACAAAAGAATATTTTGATACTATTTTGTCATTAATATTATGAAGTCTATTACAACCTTTATTATATTCTTTTTTAAGTTTTAAAAACAGAATTTCGGTCAACTGAAGAATATAGGTAGTATGTGGTGAAAGGGCATATAATAGAATGTTGTTTTTGTAACAAAAATTAACACATATATAATTAATGTTATTTTTATGTCCATCAAGAATTAGGAGGACAGAATAAGAAGATAGAATTGAATTAACAAAATGTTTAATATACATTTCAAATATACTTTCTTTCATATATCCAGAATCTGTGAAAGCCATAACATTATCAGGTAGAGCATCAGTTAGCAAGCCTGGAATCACATAAACATCTTTATAGATAAATAATAGTGGTATATAACTATCAGGATCAGAAATAGTTGAAGCAACAGATATATGCTTATGCACATTACTATAAGCAATTTTGTGGACTTGACAAGCACCTTTTTTAGCAAGTATCTTTTGGACTCTAGGAGAAATAACAAACCCTGTTTCATCCATATTCCATATACAATTTACAGTAAGAGAAATTTTTTTAATTATTTTACTAAGCTTATCAAAATGGTCTTTTATTATTACAGAATTAGCTTGCTGTGCTCATGCCTTTGATAATGCCTGAGGTATTTGAAAAGAAAGTTCTGGATGCATTCTCATAAAACATTCCTATCAGTCCTTACTGGGTTTTTTATTATTAAAAGGATTTTCATGATTGTTATTTTTTACAATCTCTATTACATAATGGTTAATACCTGATCTTGTTAAACCAAATCTCAAACTTTGCATATTTAGGCAGTAGCCTACAAGTTGTGTTTCTTTATAGCTACTTAAGATCAGAGAATAGCCAGAATGGTTAAACACATTATTTTTCTTTACTACATGCCTTAGACCAAATCTTGCACATTTGTGTCTATTACTATTATTAGGTTAGATTAATTTATTTAGCTTATTTAACTAATACATTATTTCTTTTTTAGTTATCATAATAATTGAAATTTTTAGTTTCGAGATCTATTAGTATGCATTATTTTTTTTTAGTTGTTATGATCATTATAGTTAAGTATTTAATAATATAATAAATAATTTATTGATGAATCAAATACAATTGCAAACATTCTTTAAAAGTTTTATTAAATAAATTATAATAGATTATTGTTATATATGAGATTTGTTTTAAATAACAATTATCTTACAGGTTTATGTTTGATAATATTAATTTATTTTCTATATAAACTAGATTGCATTTTTTAAAAAACACACATTAAAGAATACTTAATTAATCTACTAATATTCTTTAACATAATGCTGCCTAGGCAAAATCTTTCATATAAAAAAAAAAACTTATAAGGCAATACATCATTCAGCAACCTGTCACAAGATATGAAGATACAAAAAAAGTGATCTATTATTAAATACCCATCACAAAACATAAAGAAATAGAAAAGAAGATCTATCATCAAATACTCATTCTAAAATGTGAAGATATGAAAAAGGTGGCCTATTATTAAATACCAGAAATAGCAAAAGTTAAAGCAATATTTGAAAAAGACAAACTTATTAAAAAAGAATAAATTTTGAAGGCGGTCATCTATATGCCATCTGGGTGAAAATTATTTCTGTAATTGTAATACCAAAATTCAATTTTTTTTTAAAATTTATTAAATAAAAATTACATAATAAATACAAAACTTTGCTGTTATAATTAGAAGAATAAAGCAATATCATAATTTGTTGTAATTATAGTGAATTACAGAAAAAATATGCTAATGCATTATAATTACTACAAATTATAGCATTATATTCACATAACTAAAGCTATACATATATATACTCAAAACTTATGAATTAACTGTTTTAATTATGTCATAATGACTACATACTCATATACAATTTGCCTTGAAACCAAGCAAGATCCAAAAAAAAGTTAGTTTCTCAAAAAAAAAACAAATAAATAAAAAATATACAAAAAAAAACTGATACTTATTATGAACATCTTCAAATCTAGTCCTCTAGAAAGTTTGTCAAAGTTCACTCATTCCGATACTATTTTGCCTTTCTCAGTATTAATTAGTTTTGAAGCAAAGCAAAACCTATAAAAAAAAAATCTGGTTAATTTTTTTTTTAAAAAAAAGAAGAAAAAACAAAAAAGCCTATACAAAAGAAGAGCTAACTAGTACTTATTATAAATTAGCTTAAAGTCTAATTTCTATGCCAGTCATTAAGTTCGCTACTTTGAAAGATCTACCTATTTGGGGTCAGTAATTTGAGATCTTATTAGACTTAAATACAAAAATGCATTAATAACAAAAAAACAAAAAAATTAAAACAAATCAACAGTTAGCAAATGAATTCGCGATAATCACAATGTTGCAGTAAATTGTATGATAATATAGATTAATTTTTTTTATCAAAGCATTATTTTACATTAAATAGGATTTTTTACTAAGCAAGTTGAACTTTATTCACTAAATAAAGTTATTGAAAGTATTGTTTTCTAGTTATGTTCAAATTTTGATATGGTTTGGCTAATTTTTCCTTAATTGATTTTCATATTATACATTTGGTACAAGAAGCTCTAGGATATATAATGTAAAAATCAATTAATGAAAAATTAGCCAAACCATATCAAAATTTAAATATAACTAAAAAACAATACTTTCAATAACTTTATTTAGTAAATGAGGTTCGACTTGCTTAGTAAAAAATTTTGTTTTCTTAAGTTATTTTCGATGTACCAAATTACCCCCCTGTGCTATTATATCTCTAATTACTTTACTATTGATTATCACATAATGCTTAAATCAGTATTACATAATAGTAGATATAATAAATAATTTTAGAAATTCAATGAAGATATAATATCTAGAAGTTTTAGTCATAAATAGCCCTGATATTCCTCTAGAAATTATTAGCTCTAACTAGTTTTTATACACATATCACTATTAATAAACCTGTTTATACAACTACTTGTATTGTTATACTATTTACTCTCTTTTGTAACTGCAAATTACTTAATTCTTTTAACTTGTAACTGCAATTAACTATAAAATGAGTATGCAGCTAATATTATGTGATATAATAATCAAAATCAAAAGATTTCAATTTGCCTCATCGAGACAAATCGAATAGTACCAAAATTATTAAATTTCAATTCCTAGATCATGAGATATTATAGATTAAAATAAAATAAAAAATTACTAAAATTATAACACAGAGTCCAATGGAGTAATGGTCTGAATTAAGTATAATTTAGGCCAAAATTAGAAATTACACTCTTATATGTTATTTATATTTATTATTATACAGTAATCAGAATTGACTGATTTTGGTACTATTTGATTTATCTCAATGAGATGAATTGAATAGTATTAAGATTGTTCAATTCTGATTATTGCACTTTGCAAAAAGGTGTAACTTCTATAGATTATAATGTCATGTAAAATCATGAGAAATTCATCGATTTTTCAATTCTAAGAGAATTTTGTAGATTTCCAAATATAGAGATGTGGTCTTTGTTTATAAGTCTTTGTATTTAATTACTAATCTTTTTTAAATTATAAAATTAAAATTTTTTAGATTTTGTCTCTAATCAAACTTGAATTATTAATCCTAAAAAGTATAAAAGCTTAATTACTAAGCTATAGAATCTATATTCTAAATTGTATTAAATTTAATATAATAAATAGATATTTATTAAGTATAAATACAATATTTGTTATCAATTATTTAATATTTGTTACTAAAATAAATTAGTTATCTTTTATCTAATTTTTTAAATTACTTTTAATATTTTATAAAACAAGATATAAATATTTTAGTTTTGTTTGCATTATTATTATTATTATTATTATTTTAAACTTAAGCAGTTATGTTAGTACTTTATTAAGATTCTTAAAATTACTTTTGCAATTATATAGATTTACCTAACAACTAAGTTTAGTATTATCTGAGTACCTAAGTGCAACCTGCTGCACTACTTTAAACAGAAGTAAACTACTTGTCTAACTACTTAAAGTTCATAGTAAAAGGGTCTTCTTCCTTTCACAACAAGCCCCAACATTGTTTTCTTAATTTTTTTATTAATTCTATTCTTTTTTTCTTTTGCTTGTTTCTTTTTTTCTTCAATCTTCTGCTAATTTGCCTTTCCTTTCTTTTTTGAATTTTTTTTATTTACTTTCTTTTTCTTCATTTTGGTTATTATGCCTTCTCTTTTCTCTTATTCATTAACCTTTTTATACCGTATCCTTTACATCTGTTCATAGAATGTGTCCTATGCTGTCCTTGCCACCCACAGGTTGAATAAATGAATAAAAGGTGAATAATAAGTAAATAACAGAAAAAAAAATTGCCATTATTCTACCCTATATCTGCCAAATAATAGCAGCATAACAGCAGCATAATAGCAGAATAATAGTAAAATAAC